TTATATATATATATATATATATATATATATATATATATATATATATATATATATATATATATATATATATATATATATATATATATATATATATAATGGATATCTGGGCCAGAGAACGCTAATGAACGGGGCAATTGTAAGAGCGATTTGGGCCGGTGTCGGGAAAGGCCCAGATATTGGTCAAGTGGCCCAAGTGTAATGTAAAGGGCCTGAACCGTGCAAGGACGTGGAACAATTAAGGAAAATGTGGTGAACCACCATGATTGAGGGGAAAGCGATAATGGTGAGAAGTGTGCGCACGATGAGTGCCCATTATGTATGTAACCGTAGGTAATATAAATAGAGGGAGAACCCTCCATTGTAATGTAAGTGAAAAACGCTACAACACAGTTGTTAATAGAAATATTGTGAGATTTATCAATTACCACTCGTTTCTCGTCATCGCCATCATAGTTGTTGGGCTAATTTCAATCATTGGTGCTTCCATTGAGAGATTAAGTGTGAGAGATTGTGAGTTGATAATTTGGTCGACCGAAGGTCGAGAAATTCTAGGCGCATTCTCAGTAGTCTTCAGCCACACCAAGAGTTCCTGAACAACCAATTGTTACACAGCCTAATGGCGTTGACGTCGCGTTAAACAACCTTGCCAGCATGATAGCAAATATTATGGACAGACTTGAGACTCTTCCCAGCCCTTCTAAGATTCCGAGGCAGATTCCACAGACATGACCAGATTAGATGAATCCCATTCTGCAGGAACTCCAGGCTATAGAGGAGATCAAGCGAGAAAGAGAGGCGGTGAGAAGACGCTTCGGGGAAGAGTTGGCTCAGAACACCCGGGAGTGTGAAAGGCTAACCCGAGCAAAGACTCAAGACCAAGCTCTTCGAGCGACTACTGGCCAGCCGCACCATGCGAAGACGGGAAACCCCAGGAGTTCAGTCTTTGACTGAATGACACAAGGAAGGATACCATTCAGCGCACGACTGGGAAAGAATCCGGAGAAAGCTCCACTTGGGTGGGAGCAACCCCATCCGAGTCACGTAGAATCGTCGAACTAGGACCCACGTCGTTGGGGACAAGTGTAACACCCCGACCCCCACCCTGGTCGTAAGTGTCTGCTCATAAGATTGTACACTGGCTCCAAACACCAACACAAGTCTTTTCCACACACTTAGTCCTCACTCATGCACGCTCAAGGAAAACTTCCCAAGGGGTCACCCATCCTAAAATTGATCCAAGTCAAGCACGCCTGACTTTGGAGTTTTTAATTAGGTGATGAGCTGTCGAAAAAAAGATGCACCTTATTGGTATGAGTAGTACTATCAATCCTTTTTTCGCTCTTCACACTCCCATCTTAATCCCATCTTAATACGGGGTACTACATTCACCCCCACTTAGGAATGCAACGTCCTCGTTGCATCCTTTTTTAAACCCTTAGATCTTCCCTGCTAGGTGAACTAAGCTCTTTTGGCCCGTCAAGGTCGCAGGGTTGCTTTGATACCATTTGTTACACCCCGGCCCCCACCCTGGCCATAAGTGTCAGCTCATAAGATTGTAGACTGGCCCACAAACCAACACAAATCTTTCCCGCGTACTTTGTCCTCACTCATGCATGTAGTCTTCTTTGATCACTCCTCACTTTGCGTTACCTCTATCATTTCTAAAATCAAAGTTGTGATTTAAAGAGTCTTGTATAAGCTTTTTTCGCCATATATGATTGATTTTTATGCTTAACCTACGTGTCACTCTATTTAATTTGACGTTCTCTATGGTTTTTGGCTGTTGTAAACCACTTGATGTTCGAGGATGCTCGCCCTATTTGTATTTTTTTCTCTGGGTCGTAAGATTGTTTAAAATTCACTACAAAAAGAGGAGGCGAGATGATAGGGAGTGGGAGAGATAGAGATGGCGAGATGGAGTCGATTGATACCCGATAAACATGGAGAATTAAAAAAATCTTGAATCTTCCGTAAGATATGGAATGACGAACGTTTTCAAGATATTCCAAATCTTAATATTTCAAATGTGAATTCTTTTTTATGTCACCAAAGATTTTTATAAAAAATGATATCTGAGATATGAAGATCCATGTCTATGTTGCACATCAAACTCCATATAAAATACAACATTAATGAGGGCCTTTTTTCAAAGAAGGTACGAGAACTTTGGACGTTGAAACAAAAAGTTACTTCGTGCTATATCTTTTGTTTGTAACAAAAACATATCTCATCTTTTTAAATTATAACAAAATGGTGCCCCTTGGCCTTGTCAGAATTGTGATAATCCGTCGAAAATTTGTTGAGTTGGTATCCTATTGGCTTTTCTCTACCTGAAAGCGTTATCTAGGTGCCTTTTTTCCCTCATAGTATGAGCAGTTTTTTCTTAAAAATTCAAGGGCGGCATTTTTCTATTCAATAAAAAAATCTATTTTTATATTAGCAAAACTTTTAGGGCATCATTGTTTTCCTAAAATTTTACATTAGCAAGAATCTATATTTTTTTAATCTTAGAGTTCCTATTTTATATACACGTTTGGGCTTTGCTATCTTGATACGGACTGCATCATCCCCTCTTTATTATGATTTTTTTGTTTTTTAATCAAAGTATATTTTCCAAAAAAACTTGTTTGCAATTAATTAATTTTATTTTTTTAAGTTTTAAATGCATGTTCAATTTAATTTAAATTAACCTTATACCGTCATTAACATTAACCATACAAATATGTCAATTTAAAGGAAAAAGTTTCTTTTTTTATTTATTGAACATTAATAATGCTTTCCTAAAATCTTTAAGAATAAAAATTACTCGTACGATGAAGAGAAGAGGCACCTAAATAACACGTAAGAGCAGCAAAAAGCCAACAAAATACCAACTCAACATTCGTTCGCCGGTCGATAACATTTCCAATCAAGGGACACCATTTTGTTATAGCTTTTGAAGATGGTGTGTTTTTTCTTACAAAATATATATAGATGAGATACTTTTTGTTACAAGGTTCAAAATTGAGGTAATTCTTGTGAAACAAAGCCGAGCTTGTATGTGGAGTTAGATAAAGATATCATTGATGAACTTGTTTGTTTTCCTCTTTTTCGGTTGATGCTGCTCAACCAAGAAAATTTTTTAGGGTTTCAAGAGAAGATAAAAAATACTATAGCCAACTTACATGATAACTTGACTTAAAAATTAATGCATTCAAAAGGTATTCAGACGACTAACATGCCATATATTGCTTAAAATCAACACATAGCAACACGATAAGGATGCGTCTTTAACGCACTTGAAAAAAATCAAGACATGATTTTCAACAATGAGATTTCCATAAAAGACAGAAACAACACAATTATCTTAGGAGTTTGTATGTTGATCAAAGTACAGGCGATTTCACTATGCATAAAGAAACTAAAATGCAATTGACAAACCATGACATATCTCTAACTTCACATTCCCCCCCCCCCCCAAAAGAAAATACTCACAATTCAAATTCATCCTCAAGCTTGAGTGCCTCGGCAGCAGCTTCCTCCTCGTCATCATCAATAGCAAAATAAGGGTTGTGAGTCTTCGGCCTAAAGTTGTATCCAGTAAACACATAGAATGCAAGTGTAGCCAACTCAGCAGCAACAACACTAGTCCACAGATATTTGTATGATGTTATAGTCTCCAGAGCATAAACTACAACCCTGGTAAAGTAAATGTAGCATATGACAATTATATAGTACTGCCTAAACAACGTCAACTTCATCAGATTCACTGCGGCTTTCCCATCTGTCTTGGCAGCCTCGCGCAGGTTCTTAATTGACCACACAATAGGGAACAGTACGGCACAACAACAGATGATGTCGACAAGCAAGAAAACTTGCTTCCATGTATAAGAACTCTCTCCAAACGGTCCTGTCTCATCAACCACAACCTGAGCAACATTAGCAATGACTTGCAAGGGAATGACTACAATCAACACCTTCTTCTCCTTATCTTGCAGGTAAGGCTTCAAGAATGACCAACCAGTCCCAATCAGAACAATCAAAGTGAACAGTGATATCCCCTTCAAGAAACTAAAAAAGTAAAACAACACATCCCACCCATGGGCAGTTCCGGTCCGCTTAATGTATGATTTGTCCTCAGTCTCACAAACTAAGTTGAGGGCCTTCATAATCACAACGGCAAGCATAAAGAAATGGATCTTATAGACAGATAAGCGTTTCTGGTAAAGTGCATAAACCCAGAATATGGCCAGTGCCAAATAGACCACGAAAAACATGAAATATATAGTTGGTAGAGCTGCCTTGCCTGCGGAGAGATAATCAAGCTGACCCGTTTTTGGGTTGAGATTATACATGACTGAGTAAACGCTCATGGAAATTTCCACATCTGGGACACAATTTGCAAACACCAGTGTGAACTGGTTCGCCTCGTACACCTTGAGGGATGTGCTGAACTCATGTGCAGAGGGTTTGATTTGGTCGAAAGTGAAGACCTTCTTGATAAGATCTGAATCGAGGGTGCAAGGAATCTCCCCACCTTGGAGCTGCTCGAGGACATGCATCCAAGCATCAAGGGTGCAGAGGAAGAACCCCAGCTGCGAAAGGGGCGGATCGGGTTGTCCCTTCCGTACGGAGAAGGAGATGTCGCTGACGGAGAGGTTGAGACGGCCGGAGTGCGTGAACCCGAATTCGTCGAAAGGGATGGCAGATCGGGCATCAGATCGGATCTTGGTGGATCTGATCTCAGCGAAGGCGGAAGCAATGAAGAGGGCAAAGACGAGAGTTGCTATAGGGATGACACGAAAACCCGCCATTTGTTTCCCTTACAAGCGATGTGGATTCGAAGTGCGTATGGCTAAAAAAAACTCCGGCTACCGGAGCCCGGAGAAAACCCACCGACGCCTCAACAGTGAAATGATGAAGTCAAAGATGCAGACATGGAATAGTGCTTTGTTCGTTGGTTAATGGGCTTATGGCTGAAGAACCATGATAAACTCCTTCGGTCTCATTAAAATTTGAATAAAGCTACTCCCTGCTTGACACCGGGTTGTATCCCAAAATTGCATATTAGATAGATGCTAACACTTTAATACTTCATATTTTCATATTGATACAAAAAATTTGTCAGTGACTTTTTTTTTGTTAATATGAACCATCAAATTATCACTATACTTGTGGTATACAGCTTGAGATATACTCATTAGTGTATACTTAGTATGGATGATTATTAAAATTTCAACATTAGCCATGTTTGTGAGAAACTATAGCAACTTTTGGCCTATGGTATTCCAAGTTCTACACCGTGTCTGCCCTTACTACACAATTATACACCATAGACATATACTAGCACAAAGTATCGATGTCGCACAAATATTTTGCGTTAATGTATACACCTATGGTGTATAAATTAGACTAAGAGATAACCCTAACTTTTCCTATTTAGAATTTAAAAATTAGGTCTCAATAAAAAATGCATTGTGAGAGGAATGATGGTATACGACTTGGGATACAATTTTGTGTACCCCAAACATCACTAAAATATGATTAGAGCTTTTCTATTCAATATTGAAATTATATCCCTTTATCAGCCATAGATCTTTTGAGACACTATTTACAGTATCAAACTTAACTTACTTTATTTGCTTATTTTTCTTATTCATTTCATAAAATAATACAGCCTGGTAGACCTTTTCATATAAGTTTTACTATATAAATTTTATTTTTTAAACAATCAAATAAATTATACTAAAAATAAAGTCAATCAAGCCTCGTAACGCATAATAAGATCTATGAGAGACGAAAGAATATTATCTAGATTCCAATCTCTAAATTTTAAAATTAAGTATCCAGACATTTCTCAATCTTCATATTAAAAAACAACAATCCAATAAAATATCACAAAAATGAAATTTGAAAAGAGTAAGGAGGGTGTATTCATATATGACCATTAGGTGAAGATTGATACTTCCTTCATCCTAAAAATAAATCATAATTTAACCTTTTTATTATTATGACGTTAGATTTTTAAAAAAATACGCCGTAGTAATTTATAATGTAACTTTAATATGATTAAAATTATTTTGAGATAAAATTTTGATAAATGAAATTTTTATAAATAACATTTATAGTTGAGTAGGCACTTTGGGCTATAATGAGTTTTTATGCATTTGTTTGTATGATTTGTATGCTTTGCATGGTTGGTACTCTCCATTTGCGTGGGAGTCTCTTGGAAAAAACTTTTCTACTTTCAAGTAGGGACGAATTTGTGTACACACACCTTGTCCAAACCCTATTCTCATGAGATTCAACTAATTTATTATTGTAGTAACATTTATTTATTTAAAAATATACTACGTATTTCTTTTAAATTGAAAGAGACCATAAAGTGAAAGAGTGAAACTGAGACGTAGGAAGTATTATTCAAACTTATATTTATAAAACATTCTATTTAAGGAGAGCCATTACCATAAACTGTAGTACAATTAAACAACGTTGGAATGTATGTTACAATACATTATGCTAATTATTCAACTTACCAAGTCAAAATAAAGTGCAACTAGTTTCAAGCCTTTAATTACTACGGAGCATTTTGTTAGTAGTAACCAATAAAAGAACTCACGGAACAAAATCAGCATTTTAATTACATGTTTCCAATTCTCCAATAACTTAACTGTCCATAAGATGCCCAGTTCACAATTACTACAGTACATCGGTTGCCGGTGTATAAAGCAGGGCAAAAAGATATGGGCAGCAAATCCAAAAGAATAGAAAAAGTTAACTCCCGGCAGAAAGTTTTTCCAAACATTTTTTTTAATGAGAACACTGCACACTGCTTTAAATAGACGTTTGGGCCCGAACCGCGTCCCTGCCCAATGAAATCAAACACTAATCATTAATATGGGGAATCAAATGATGACCAATAGCACAAGCAAAAGAAATGACCAAAGGTGGTGGCCTAGGAAGCTATAAAAATGACGAGTAGAGAGACCTATTTACATGAGTTAAACATATGTAATAAGAACACTAGAGGAAACGAACTGGCAGATGTGGAATTACCATCTTCTGTACCAATGGAATGGGAACTATCTTTTAGAGCTTGATGTAAACCGACCGATCCTGACAAAAAACACCATTCGGCTCATCATTATGGTTATATGTAATAGTTTCCTTGTACCAAAACAAGCTCAATATAAACATAGGAGAATTACCTTGCTTGCTCTTTGCCAACTAAATTTGTATTGCTCATAGAGAATTGTACCGTGGGTGCGTCTCTAGGGGCATTCTTAGGTTTCATTAAGACCTTCACCCTTGGAATGATGCCTTCAATAAGTACATCGGGAGGACAGTGCTGATTTTGCATTGCCATGAACTCATAACAAATGTTATCAGCCACTTTCTCTACATCCCCAGAAGTCTTCTTCAGCCACTGTGACTGAGCCATGGGAGTCACAGCAACAACAGAGGGCAAACATGACGAACTAGATGATGACGTGGCAGCAGCTGCGGCTGCAGCAGCAACCCTAGCCGCAGCTGATGTGGCTGCTATAATTTCTTGAGCACCTTCCCGAAGTTGGATGTAGTCTCCATCAATCACAAATAACTGAAAGTACAAAATTAGAGCTGCATATATAAGAAAACCAAAATTCATCAGAAATCTACAGATTTTAAGCTTCAGAAAACTTACTTCAGGATGGCTAGCTACAAACTCATCGAGTTTCCCAAATTTCTTTCGGTAATCAAGCCAATGTAGGGGAGAGAGCATTTTCTCTAGCCTATTTGGGAGCTGCATATCACATACAGAACCAGTTAGTTATGGAATATGTGACAGTATTAAAACTAGACACACCTTAAATGATATAATCAACCTAACTGACCGTTGTACTAATCCTAATTCTACCACCAGGACCAGGTGGAATTGTGCGAACTATGCAAGCCAGTAGTGCTTGTTCTTTGAGTAGATTGGGTTCTGCTGCTTTCCCAGTACATGCATGTGCATTATTCTGACCGGTGCAAATCAATCTCTCAGGCGGGGCAGCATCATTATATAGAACATCTTTTACTTTATCAATTGAATGACTAGTCTGATCTGAAACTTCTGCGGAGGACTTGTTAGTAGAAGAACTAACTTCTCCCATTATAAGCCCTTCTGCCTCGACCCCATGGCTATTTGAGTTCTTCCCCTGCAAATCGGCATTTTAAAAAATAATAAACAGTCCAGCTCACACTTAAAATGTTGATTAAAAGACACCAAAAAGTATTTATTTCCAAAGCCGACAATAAAATTAGAAGAATTCCATTTATCAATAAAGAAGCAAATACCTGGAACTTATTAATGTGTTCAAGAGGATCAATATTCAAAGCATCACAGAATTGTGGAGAGATAGTTTGCAAAGCCCGCTGTGGGGTTTGCAAACTAGGGATGCAATTCTCACCCACAGACTGAAGAACCACCTGCACAAAACGTTATGGATGGATGAAAAAAATGCATCTAACCTTTATAGGTAAAACAAAACATGCCATCGCGCGTTCAACCGAGTTGGTCGAGAGGTGGGAGGTTTAGATTAATAACCATGAAATGAAAATGCAATGGGGATAAGTTGGCACAAGGATCAGTTCCTCCCCCGTAAGACTGCTACGTCACCGTGATTAATCCACATATCTTACGGCAGGAGTGGTTCATCTTATCGTGTTCAAGGTAAAACATGACATATGATGATTTGCAACCTGTTGCCCCAGTTCACATGAAACTCCAACGGAAGCCTTTGGTTCAATTTCTGGATGATGCAATGTCCCATTGATAGATGTATCATGTTCATAACTAGACTCTGGTCTTAGCAACGTTGGTTCCATTTGAAGATGATTTTGACTGGGAACAGACATCTGCGAGCCAACCTCCGATGAAACCTTGAACACAACAGAATAAATTGGCCACAGAATGTTATACTCCCTCCGTTCCAAAATAAGATTCCACAATTGGGCATGGCTATTAATAAAGGTGAAAGTGTGTGGTTAAGTTTTGTGCAAATGAGATATATTGTGTAAACAACACTATTCATTCCTCAAAGGGAAAGAGGAATCTTTTTCTCGGACAAACAGAAAAGGAAATGCAAAAGTTTTTTATGGGACAGCGGGAATATTAAAAGGATTCATCAGAAACTACCTGTTGGTTAGTCCAGTGTTGGAGAGACGGTATCGAGGGTACAGGGTGAAAGTGTCCAAGATGGTGAGGAATCTGTGATGGTACAGTGGTGACTCCCTGTTGATGCACTAAAAAAGGATGCAGTGCAGTGATTTGACCTGGTTGCATGAAGGTTGGCATCCCATGTAAAGATGAAAGATGAAGTGCAACACCATGGAGATCACTCTGACACTTTAAAGGTAAAGATACTGTTATGCCATCACTTTTGGCAAAGCATAGAATCAAATAAAAAGTTCATATAAATAATATATAACTGCTAAATATCCAAGGAGTTTATAAATGTTACTCCCACTGTTCCAAAATGGTCTTCTAACTTTTCAGGAAGCGTCAAAATGATTTTCCCATTTTATATATTGGCATACACTCTTTACATTTTAATAAAAAGATACTCTTAACCTCAACTTACTCGAGCTAGGGGTCTCTTGGAAACAGCCACTCTACTTTCGAGTAGGGGTAAGGTCTGTGTATGCACATGCTCCCTACACCTTACTCTAATGGGATTGAACTACTCTAGTGGATTCAACTAGGCTGTTTCTGTACTCTTACCCTCAACAACTTACATATTTATTACTCCCATTGTCCAAAAATGATGCACCTTTTTTACTTTTCTTGGTTAAAAGTTCACAAACTATGACTGAAATTTGTAGCCCCTTGTCCCAAAAAGAACTTCAGTGTTTGACTTCAAAAAGTCCAAGAAAATTGTTCAAAAGTAAACAGTATGTGGGCAAAAATTGTTTAGAAAAGAGAAATGTTTCGTAGACCAAATATTTCTTACCTTTAAAGAAAAAAGTAGAAGTGCGAAGTATTTTTGGGGCATCCATACAAATAAAGTGTGAAGTTTGTTTTTGGAACGGAGGGAGTTTAGTTATAATTCGAGTTTAATATCATTAAATTCATTCTGAAACAATCTTGAAAAATATTTTGAAAAATATTATAAATATTTTATAATATTTAATTTAATTTATGTACAAATTACGGAGTAGCTATTAAGGGTCAAAGTGTTGCATTGTGACTGAAAAGTCAAACGGGTACATCTTTTTGGGACAGTATATTTTACTTCACTTTTACTAAATCCTAAAAAATTAGGTAGAGACATTTTGATAATTATATTTTCACTCTAATCTCTGTGTCATTTTCATCTCAAAAGATCAATGTGAGACGGATGGAGTATACATAATTCACCGCATCTTCATTAGAAATAGATACTCTTTGCGTCCTTTTTATTACGGAGTATCATTATACGTATTGAATTAAAAATAAATCCCACTTAATTATAAAACTTACCGACCCTAATTACCTTATTTGAATCACCTACCAATCCATCACCCACTGAAAAAATAGTTTCTTTAGATGATCTATAAGATGGTTGTGCTCAGGAAGGTGGGATTTAAACAATACTAATGTGAATTTAGTCATTAGTCTTGGAGATAATAGTACAAGCATAATAAAATGAAACAGCTCATTTGAAGACGTAGGTTAATTTTCATATACTAAGGTACCCCAACCTTTCCATTTTGAGGTATGGAGTGATGTGGAGTCAATAGTCAATACATAGTGCTAGGAGTACTAAATAGGATCATTAGACTTTCAAATACTCCATACATTACTAAAAAATTCATTTTTAAAAAACAGGTAATGATATTTCCTTTTGATTTCAATGCTTCATACAAGGGTGATAGGATGAATGTCAGTAAGTAAATAACAATACTATTTCTTGCTCGCATCCTTCCTTAGCTAGCATTGGCCTTCAATCCTAAGTGGATATTCTGAAAGGGTATCATCCTCATTCTTGTTGAGAACGCCAATGCTTTAAGAAATGGTAACATAGGTTATTTACTTTTTAACAAAATTAAATTCGATAAAAAGAGCTTTATAAAAATGGATAAAAAGAGATTATCATTGCTTGCAAGAAAGTGTATGACCAATATCTATTTAATAATTTTAATTAAGGACATGTAGCTGGTCTAATGTTGGAGAATAAAGAAAGATAAAGTTCTACCTGAGTAGACACATTCCCAACAGAAGTTATTGACAGAGCAGTTTCGGCATTTCCATTTGGAACATTTCTAGGGTTTGCACTAAAAGACTGACTATTACTGTTCTCATTAAGTTTGCTGCCATTTTTCAACTCATACTGTGAAGTGCCTTTAGAAGTTTCGTCTGAAACTTGAGAACAATCCGGGGAAGTACCATTCCTTTCTCTTGCCTCTGTCAGTACTATTTGGAGCTGCTGTATATGCAAGTGTAGACGCTCCATCTCGCCAAACTAAAGAAAAAACTAATTACTCCTCAAATAAAATTAACTACTGAACAACAAATTTAAAAGTCAAAGCTGACCGATAGCATCAAGTAGAAAAGGAAAGAATGAACACAAATAGTCACAGTAGCAAATACCTGATTAATTTATTTAAAAGAATAAATCAGCTATATGTTACTTAAAAGCTAGATAACCTGTCTCTGACAAGCCAGCCAAAGCTGATTATATTGTTCTGCTCGTTCGCGTAGTTCAGCTTGTTGGAATGCTTCAATTTCCTGAGCACGACTCATCCAAGCATGGGCTTCCCTCATCTGTTCGTCGTTGTAAATAATGGTTTCCTTAGCAATTCTGTTCTGAACAATGTAGAATATTCAAACTGTGAGATTTCAAAATTCTAAATGGCAGCTATTATTGCACAAGTACTGTGTGCCTATATATATATATATATATATATATATATATATATATATATATATATATATATAGGGATTGACTCCGGTGAGATGACACCTTGTGGTAAGATGACATGTTTCAGTCAGATGACGCTGGAGCTCACCACTGTCCACTGCAAAGCTCACCATGATTTTCCAACACTTTACTTTTTTTTCAAAATTTGATGGTTAAATGCTTACAAAGCCCAGCAACAAAGCTCACTGACTCTCATTGCAAAGCTCACCGAATATGTGCACAAAGCTCACCACACTTTAAAGTTTAAAATGACTTCAAAAACAAACAAAGGGTAGTGGTGCTGACTTCCAACCGCTGCAAACTACCGCCGTGGACCGGTGGTTGACCGGTGGTGCAATTTTATTAATTTTTTTTAAAAAAAAAGTGATGGCTTTGCATTGTTCCTTGGTGAGCTTTCCATTGACAGTTGGTGAGCTTTGCATTGACAGTTGGTGAGCTTTACCCGTTGACCGCCCATGACCAATGGCCACCACCGATGACCCCCACTATTGTCGTGGACCGGTGGTTGAGCGGTGGTTGACTAGTGGTTGAGTGGTGGTGCTATTTTTTTTTAACTTTTTTTATTTAAAAAAAGTGGTGAGCTTTGCATTGACAGTTGGTGAGCTTTGCATTGGCTGTTGGTGAGCTTTCCATTAGCAGTGTTGTGTGTTGTGTCATCTGATTGAAGCATGTCATCTTACCATAAGGTGTCATCTCACTGGAGTCAATCCCATATATGTATGTATGTATGTATGTATGTATGTATGTATGTATGTATGTATGTATGTATGTAAAGACACACACATATAGATATATGTGTGTGTGTATAAGTATAATTTAAAAAGCATCATTGTAACTCCCAAAATATTGTTTCTGTAGAAGTTTTATTGCACTAGAATGTTGTTGAAATATTTTCAAAACTTAAGGTCTGTGTGTACTGTATGACCTGTTCCTGCAATTCCATGAATTGACGTTCTTTCTCTTGAATATGCTCCTGAAGTTCATGAATTTGTTTAATATTTTGAACTCGTTCGGCTTCTGAGTTGTCCCTGTCTCGCCTACATATTTATGAGCTATACATAATAAAATCAACAAAGCATATACCAAGAAAGTACAAGTCTCAGTTGAGGTTGCACATATTGTATAACACTATTGTTAGATCACTCAAAAAATCAAAATAGGTAAATATTGTTTGATTTGAAATTCATTACTTATATGTTAACAAACAAGTACTTAACAACCTTCAGCAATACAACTAAGACAAATGTAATACTTCAAATGAAGGAAAAGTTATTCTACAACAACAACAAAGCTTTATCCCACTAGGTGGGGTCGGATACATGGATTAAACGACGTCATTGCACCCTATCATGTGTCATATCTACTGTGAGATCATTCACGCGAAGGTCCCCTTGACCACTTCTTGTCAAGTCTTCTTAGGTCTACCTCTTCCTCTAGCCACATGTCTATTCATCATTTGATCAACCCTCTCTATTGGTCTTCTCTTCACATGTACAAACCACCTAAGACAAGCTTCCACCATACTTTTTACAATAAGTGTCACTCCAACTTTAGCTCTCATATCTTCATTTCTTATTTTGTCCATACGAGTATGGGCAATCATCCAACGAAGCATCTTCATTTCTACCACACTGGCCTTAGGTTCATGTTCACCCTTTGTTGCCCAACACTCTGTTTCATACAATATAGCTCGTCTAATCATAGTACGGTAATTCTGTTTAATTTTAAAGGTACTTTTTTGTCACATATAAAGCTGGAAGCACTCCGCCATTATGACCAACCAACTTGAATCATGTGGTTAACATCATCCTCTATTTCTCCATTGTCTTGAATGATACACCCAAATATTTAAATCTCTTAACTTGTGGTATAGTATTTTCTTCGACTTTCACCTCGATGTTACTAAATACTAATTCTCCTTCTGTTGCCAAATTTGAAATTTTGCTTTCCATATACTCTGTTTTAGTGCAATTTATACGCAAGCCATGCAACTCCAAAGCCTGTCTCCACGAATCCAACTTTCTATTCAAATTCTTTCGTGATTCACCTATTAAGGATGATGCCATTGGCAAAATGCATGCACCATGGTACAGGTTCTTGGATATGCTTGGTAAGAACGCCCAATACTAGTGTAAAAAGATATAGGATTAATGATGACCCTTGGTGTAATCCTACACCGATGCAAAATTCCTCTATCACCCCACTTTGACTTCTCACACTCGTTGTAGCATCATCGTACATGTCCTTAATTGCATGAATACATGCAATCCTTACTCCTTGGCATATTCTAAACATTAGGGAGAGGACTATAATGGCATATTTTTTCAGTTAATAATTGAATTTAATATTAGAAAAGGATGCACAATCATGTGGCAAACATATAGTACCTATAAGTTTGCAGTTCTTTGTTTTGTTCTCTCAGTAGACCCTCTTTAGCCCAAGCCTGCTAAGTACAGTGTAAGCAAAGCACAAGTTTATTTTACATTTTAAAAAAGGGGCCATTATAAAATTGGGCACTTAAATATAAGATCTTAAAGTAGAGGTCAAATGATCAAACAAACCGCTTCGTTGTCCAATCTTATTGCCTGCAACTCCCTCTCTTTCTCTTCCATTCTTCTTTCCAACTCGCAAATCTTCTGGTCCATTTCACGCAGTTGCTCCTACATGTCCGTTGAAACAATTTCATTAACAAAGTGTAAAACAAGAATTACACGGAACATTTTACTCCTTATCCATCTTTTTTGTGCCTTCAACTATTAATGTGGCCAACCTAATTCATTTTATTCACTTATATTCAATGATAACTGTTTTTCATATCCAAATAGTTTGCAACATAACAGAATATTAGTGTAGCTCTTAAAAAATACTCCCTCCGTCCCACTTTAGATTACAGTATTCCCTTTTTGTTGAAATTAAGGAAGAGTCAAATCAAATTTTTTTCCCCAAATTACCCCCAAGTGGCCCACTTACATGGATGAATAGTGTGTGTAGTGTAGGAGTGGAAGGGTAAAAGAGTCAATTCCTTGTAAAGTTATTGACTTTGTAATTCTTTTTGGGACAAAAATGTGAGAGAATATTGTAATCTATTTCGGGACGGAGGGAGTATGTAATTTTAGTGACTAATACAGTAATACTAAAGTAAGTAAAACTAAAAATGAATTATATGAAGTAACTAACAGTGTAGTGATCCTGTTACGAACATATAGTGTCCGTACAAGAGAAGAAGATATTGATCCTTCTGTGCCCGTGACCTAAAGGAGGGGAGGCAGTCTGTGACTAGCTTCTCATGATTGTAGTTTATAGTGTCCTTAGAAGAAGAAGAAGAAAATATTGATCATTCTGTGCCATGGCCAAAAGAAGGGGATGACTAGCTTCTCATTATCATGGTTTTGATTTTCAATGTTTATAATTTTATAAATAATTGTGTGATCATAAATAGGCAAAGCAGGCCAATCATAATCATACTACAAAACATGAATCCTTATTTAGAAATATCAACTAAAATAGAATACGGAGTAAGACTAATAATAAGAGACATTTAATGAATCCCTTTAGGAAGATTAACTAAATTAGAATAAGATTACTAATAGGAAACTAATAATGATGATGATGATAATGAAAACAGTATCATTTCAGACAAGTGTTTATTCGCTCAAAAAAAATCCAACTGCTATGCAGACCTGAAGTTTCATACCGGCATTTGCCTGCTCTTGGACTTCAGCATCAAAAGCTTTCTGCAGCTCCATAATCTCGGACCTAGTAATGATTTGAGCCCGGAGCTCAATCTCCATATGTTGCAACTCCTCTCTTTGTTTCTTTACAGTATGAAGTCTCTGCTGCAGGAGATCATTGTCTGGGTTTCCGCGAATAGTGATTGAGCAGAAGTCAACATCAGCTGGTTCTCTCCCCTGCTGCACGTTTGATAAAACAGCAAAACACCTTGGTGTTTATCCTCGTCCCATAAATATTCAGACAAAGCCTCACATTGAGAACCACAGAGAGAAATTCACATGGAAAACAATAATGAAAAGACAAAAGGAATTACATTTTACCTCGTACACCAATCTCTCATCCGACTGCCCTAACTTTGAACAATCAATCTCCTGAAAAAATATTTTAAAAAAAACTACATGTGAGATCTAAAAACAAAAGAAGGAAAAGAAAAGAAATGTGAACATAACGGGGCAAACATTTCAGGCACCTCGCTAGTCGAAATCCTCAGAGATTGCTCGGAAATAGCGCGCCATTCTTTGCGAGAAGCCTGAGATGATGAATCTGGAAGAGAAATGCCGCGTCCAGCAGCGCCATCCATTGGCTAAAAAATCGGCGGCAGCTCCAGTTGGACACAAACCCTAAATCTTAAGAGCCCACGAGAAAAATCAAGCACTAAAATGCAAATTCATAGATTAAAAAAACAACAACCCGCGGATAGAGAAAAGAACAGTGGAACGGAGAGCAAAAGACAGTTCAAGTGACCGAATGATTGAAAGGCATGTGCTTACCTTTTGCCTGGGGGATAAACGGGATGGTGGAAGGTACAAAGGCTGACGCGCTGGAAGGTACAGACTACAGACTACAGAGGAGTCACTCACCACTATAAACTACGGAGTAGTATATCTACCCGTACCATGGACGGGGTTAGGACGAATTTTTTTTTAATTCTATAATAATTCTATAATGTGAATCTTGATTTTTATTTGGCATATTATTTAAAAGTGAAATATAAATTTTCTGGATGTATTTCTATAATATAAATCTATAATTTTTTTCCCTATATAAATTCAAAAATATATTAATACAAAAAGTATTAGTGATCCAATGATTTTTTTCGTCACATTAATTTAAAAAACCTAAATTACCGACCTTATAATTATATACTTCCTCTGTCTCTGAGTATTTGTCCACTTTTGATTTTTTTGTCAAAATTGGTAAATTTGACCTCAAATTGAATAGAAAGATATTAGATATTGATACAAAAAAAATTTTATTTTATTTATTATATCATCCATTTTCAAAATATTTTTTCATGTACTTAATATATAATAAATATTTTATTTAATTCTAAATCAAATGTTGAAAACAATTAACCAGAAAATGCAAAACTGGACAAATACTCAGAGACGGAGGTAGTAATTAAAAAATAAGATTCTTCTCATCCATAATCCTAATCTACCCCCGCCCGCAATGATTATAAAAAACTATTATTCTTTCTTGCATTATTAAAAAACAAAATCTTAAATTAGTGATCTCAAATCTCTATGATTAAAAATTTTAATTTTAAAATATTAAGAATCCATTATTCTTCTCCACCACATTGATTTTAAAAAACATTAAATTGTTAGTGCTCCAATGATTTTGTCTGGATAGTATTCTGCTCAAGATATAAAATGTTCTATCAAAATACAAATAGTTACAAACTGGAAATTGTATTTCTTTGATGTGGTTGTAATCTGTAACTGAGTTTCAAACTTATTAGCTATTGCACCTTGGATTTTCTGCATATTTTTTCTTACTTTTTTGATTATCCAAAATCTTCATTGTCACAAATCTTCTCAAGCTCTCCACCACACCTTGATCTTCTTTGTCACAATCTTCTTTGTAGTAAATCTGTGTCGTCTCATAAAATATCATCCTGTAAAGTTTCCATGTACGATTGCGTTAATGAAAACGGAGGAAGTAAGTCCTCTCTCGTTTAAAATTTCTTATTAAAATAGTAAATCAAGTTACCAAGATAAAATATAAAAGTCCTATTAAATCTTTTTTCTAATTTGTTTATTTTAAATATTCAATATTTTAAAAATAGTCAAATTGTATGGAAATAATTTTATTATATATATATATATATATATATATATATTATCCATTTGACTAAAAATAAAGTACATAATTATAACACGTATAATTCTCTTAGAAAATATAGTCTTAAGTCTTTTAGTCACCTAATTATAAGTTATAAATTTCTTTGAATATTCTAAAAATAGTCTCTTCGAATAATGTATTTTCCAAAGTCAATGTTATTAAGCATTAATTATCTATGTAGTACTTTATAGTTGAAATTTATTTACTCAGTGTCTTCCGTATATGTTTGTTAAATAGATGTTCAATGGAGGAAATTTAGGTATTTTCAACATTTAAATGTAGAGTAATTTTTCAAAATGACCCTTTCGGATTAACCTTTTTCTAATTCGGGTCTCCATTATAATAATTATAATTTTATCCCAATTGTGCATTTAGGAGCATCTTAATGTTTTGTGTCCTTCTATTAGTCACTCATGTTCATGCTAGTAAATTTCGAATGAGGATTACCTCACCTCCGATACCCCACTTTATATCTTTGTAAAATTTTGACAAAATTCGGGTATGAAAAATACGTGATTCATATTTTTTTGCAAATATTGTTTTTGTTGTATATACCCCATGCTAATATTTTTTTTTGTGTTTTTTAAAAAGTAGTAGTTGTGACTTCAATGAAGTCAAAAGTGAAATACCTATGATTATTTTAAAATGTTTTTCTAATTTTTCTTTGTGAAACCCTTGTAACTATATTTGTTTTGCTATTTAAAAATAAATTCATATCAAGTGAAAAAAAAAATTGGTATGTAAAATCTATGTAATTATTTTTACGTGATAATTTTTTAAAATTTTATGTGAAAAATGTAACTGTTATTTTAGAAGTTGATTTTAAAAATTTAGACTATAATTTTAATTATTTTAGAAGTTGATTTTTTAAAATTTTTAATCAAAAAAGAATTTTAGGTCTCACTTAATTGCATAAAATTTCATGTATGTTCTAATTTCTTCAACAATACTCCATATGTGTTTGGATTTGATCTTCTCAATATACTTTTCTTGTCAATTTTGTATACTTTAACCTCAATATATAGAAACATTATCTTTTGGTAGAAATACATTACCAATAACTTTTTTTTGAAACTAAGAAATCTCTTAATGTTTGGTGGCTCTAATTTTGAAGATAAAAAAATGCATTTTTATTTTGGTATTTTCTCCATGTTTATTCCCATTCTGGTAAAGAGTAATTTTTTCCAAAAAATTATAGCGACACTGTACATAAGACATCTACTCTGCATACAACATAAATTGGATCTACCCATATTTTGATTAAAATTGCCACGTTATTCAATCGTTAATAGGTGGCTGGTAATTTGTTAAAATGTTGCCATGTAGATTCGCCACTTGTCACAATTCTAGGAGATTAACTCTCAAATTTAAATTCACTAGTATTTTGACCCGTGCGATGCACGGGGTCGAACGAAACTGTTGTCGATTTTGAAATTTTTCAATGAAATATTTATTCCAAAATCAAGTAAATATATTTCTGTCACAAATTTTAATCAATGGAAAAAAATGACAAAGTAGAATATAATATTTGAGAAATTGAAAGTGTACTCAAAAAAATCTTTTTTAATTCCAAATTTTTTGAAAAGACTTTAGTGTACACAACATTTTTTGTATCATTGTAAGCGTTTTTATTTTCATCTAGAACCAATATTTTTAATCATGTCTTTTTCTTTACTCGTGAAACAGTAACATAAAGCTAACCATGAGTAAATCCCGAATTGGTTAAAAATAAAATAGCAAAGGACAATGTTTGACATTGACTTTTGTTTATAGTCATAGCAAAACATAAGACTATTATATTGAGAATTCTATCAGATGATACCAAATTTTATTCAGAGTATGTAAACCTTTTTCTCCAACGCGATTTCTCGAAACATCAATTACATTGATAATGTTCTTTCACATCTCTTTAATGATTAATCTTTTACCATTACACAATCCATATATTTGGTCAATGTTTTTCAATAACATAATCGGTACCCCTTTTAAAAACTATTTTATGGTTTGAATCCCCTAACATTTGATTTCATTAAGAAGAATTGAACTGTTATCTAATCGTCTTCAACAACTACATTTAAATATGTTTGGCATGAAGAATGAGAACTTAAGTACTCTTTTTTACCTCTTAAAATAAGGGATATGACAAATTCATTTGTCATTTAACAAATTCGATTGTGGGTGCTAATAATGCACTATCCTCAAAAAAGAATAATTTTTCATGTTCTCTAATAGGTTTGGATAAGTAAAGTCCACTATACTCTTGAGGGGGTAACTTGTGTCAAGCATCAAGAATTCAAGCAGGATTTCAACGTCAGCAGTTTCATCGATCACTTGTCCAAGTTTTCCATCTTTGACTTTGCTTATCAATACAAAAAAAGATTATGTGTCCCTAACAGTGCAGGAGCGTGTAGATAAATGCAATCTCATATTCTTAGCTAACCTATAAACTTTACATTACAATCACATTTGTGAGAATTGGTGGTAGCACCCACAATTTCCTCTCTCTACGCTATGAGTAGACCTGAAAGAATTTGGATAAAATCACCTCCGAGTATAGCTATTTTCCCTCCGAATGGTTCATTTATGAAGTTATTATTAAAAAATCTCATTACATCTCTCATTTTTCCGAAAAAAATAAGTGGGTGAATCATGGTACTTGTCACTAATAATGTGACAAACAACTTTTTCAGCAGATTCTCACATCTTGACTTAACAACCTCTTTCATACCTTCAATAAATTCTTTATCATCGGTTAATAACCTCAATGCTTCACATTATTCCTTGAATGCATTATGTAGAATATTGTTAACTGTCCTCAAGCGCTTATAATTTGTACATCCTTGTTGGACATTTAATACTTCTCAAGTAGTATATCTCCCTAGTTTCTGTAAGCACGTATTGTAGTCTGCCTATTGACGGTCGTTGTTGCCTTTGATCTATTTCCACACTTTGTGGTTGTACATAAAATATTCTCGAAACTCAAATTTTATCCCACATTATATTTTGTATTGAAAATCATCCAAGCTTCAAACATTGAGGCTTTATCAATAATTTCTTCGACAACATCTTTTAGTTTTTGTTAGTGTCTAAAGGTTACGAATTTTAGCCTTGGGTTATAAAAATTCAATCTCAGTACTGATCACTACCTTTGTTGTATGTCAAAAGAGAGGATTATCCCAGAGGCTTCACATGCAGATACGTAATGACAATCAGAATACTTATTTGTTTCATAATACACCATAATATCAACAATGCCAAAGTTAGATTGGGTAACTGCAACAGTTACTTTATCTAGATCTTTATTTACATATTTAAAGAGATATTTGATTGAATTAGATTTATTTCAATGTTCAATGTTGTTTGATCTTGAAACATCATCAAGAGTTGTGGGTTCTATGTCACAACAATTCGATTATCCAACTCGATATTCTTTTTCATTATATTGTGGTGACCTCTAAGGTTCGCCACTTGTCACAATTCTAGGAGATTAACTCTCAAATTTAATATATAAAGATAACTTAAATATTTTAAATTCATTTGTGTCTATATTTGAATATAATGATTCAATATAAGTTAAATACAAATTCGAATTGAAATACTAGTTTAGATTCGAATATATATATATATATATATATATATATATATATATATATATATATATATATATATAGATACATACATACATACATACATACATACATACACACACATGGATATGTATGTATGTATGTATGTATGTATGTATGTATCTATATATATGTATGTATGTATGTATGTATGCATGCATGTATGTATGTATGTATGTGTGTGTGTGTGTGTGTGTGTATATATATATATAGACCATTTTTCAAAGTC